CGTACACCCTCTGGCCACTCTCGCAGTCAACAATCTTGAGAAGAGATCCGTCCCACTCGGTGACGCGGGAGTCAAGGCATTTCGCAGAGGAAATGTCCTCACAGAGCGCCCAGGTGCTGCCGTTGTCCGTCGAGCAAATGATCATGGAGCAAACGTATTCCGCTTCATTCACCGCCATCAGAGAAAACACAAGCGTGCCGTCCTCCATCACAACACCTGCGCCACCAGAAGCAATGAACTCCGTCCATTCACCTTGTGAGAAGCAGAAGAGATCAGTTTCGAGAGTGGTTTGGGTCGCCCCAGTCGATCCGTCCACTCTGCTTCCCACCCGTGGGATTCGTGACATCGCCCACAACCAGCTTCAGCTCCAAGCCGCCCTCTCTCCAGCACACACCCTCGTAGGACACATCAGTGCCTCCCGCAAGAAGAAACACTCTGTTGCCCTTCGTGATTGTTGTGGGGCGGAGCACAACACCCAAACTCTCCTTTCCCTCCGCTGCACCAAGCACAGTGTGTGCCCTCCATGTATCTTTTATTGACCTCACCAACAACAGTGGACCAATTCCACACAGAGTCGATGCACCCCGCAACAAAAGCAGAAGAAAAGGGCTTACTTAATTGAGCACATTGATATTCGGCATCCATGCAACCTTCAAAGAAAACAGCCATTACTCCACCAGCACTGACGAGCGAGGGTGAAACAAATGAATCCCTCGCCGCAACTGGAGCAATCCCATCCTTCTGCTGCACCAGCGTCGTCTGCGCCACAGATAGATCGACTCCCTGCGGCACCTCAACATTTATTAAACCACTCATCGCATCACCAATGGGATTCCCCTTCGGCTCGGTGACAGGCGTGGGCCTTCTTTCGGATGGTGTCGGAGCCACCTTGATATTTTAAACGTAAGCAAACTCAGGCTTCGTCTCGGACGTGTTGGTCGCCGTGTTGGATGCGGGACTCGGATCGACGGTGTTGGGTCCGTCAGCCGCCGCAGACTGTCGCCAATCCTCGTTCTGACGTGACGGCTCAGCATTCACTTGCGGCGCAGTTGTCCCGCCAGATTTTGTGTCGTCCCTTCACGGGGTGGCGGCAACTGACGGATGCCCGTCCGGTCAGCATCGCTGCTCCGTGCAGGCGGATGGATGGTTCCATCGGGAGGAAATTTGACGCCGCCACAATTCATAAGGGCCGGCGTATTTATGTGTCGTCACATTCATCGTGAAGGCA